TATAAAATGTTCTATTTTACTCAAGTAAGATTTTTATTGTGAAAATTACAGGCTTGGGGCATGACAAGAGTTTACAAAAACCTACCTCTCTCTCCTTGTAACTATATAATCAAATGATATTACATTCTTAATCAACATGAGATTATTTATGGCGTCACAGAGACCGAACCTCACGAGATATCATTGGGATTATGGCCGAAAAACAGCGAGGATACCCAACTAATGAATCCATGTATTCTAATCATTATACATTTCTGTTTTATGATGTTTCCTACTCTAAGTTAGACTGGTATAATAAATTACATAAACTAATTGTGTTTTTATTATTTTTGTTATTATCTAAAAGCAAAATACATATTTTCATATTTAAGAAATCCCTCTCTAATGTCAGAAACCTTTGAAATTTATTGTGACAGCGATGCAAGCGAAAACACGCGGCTACGAAGCACAGACTTACTAATCTTATACAAGAGTAGAGAATTTATTTTGTTAAGCGTCCATTCATTAAACAAAATAGACGATTCTGCTGTAGTTTGAAACGTTTCATTATTCCCTCTGGTCAATAATTAAAAGGCACGGGTTCAATGTGATGATTACGATTAAACAGTCAGGAAGGAGAATAAAGTTATTACCAAAGGTTAGAGTCCTTAAAGGCTAGAAAATATGAATAACACGAACAAAAATTTCTGGTGCATAACATTTCATTTAAGTGCATGTAGATATTATAAGATCCAAAGGTTAATGTTAGCTTGAAACGGTCGTAAATTCTGATCAAAGACTTGTACTCTTACTTCGTAATTTTCAGCCTCTTGTGTATTTCTAACGACATCCAGAAATCTATTTACAGAGACTACCTAAAAGCAGGTCGACCTTTACACACAAACTATGCCGTTTAATTTTGGTAGGTTTTAATGAAACTAAAATATGACCAATATGCAACAAGAACGAAACATCTTATGTGTCATCTTCTTCACAAAACTGTATGAATCAAGGAATTTTGGGAAGTGGAAAGAAATATGCTATATATATTCGACGAGATTTACGTTGTTATTCTCGATTCTTATTTCATCTTGCCCAAAACATTTCGGCTGTTTTGTGTTGTCGACTCATGGTGTTATATATCTGAAGCTCGATAGATAATAATTCGTTCCTTTTTTTTAAGGAAAATAAACTTAAAAACAATAAAGAAATAGAAGAATGCTAAACTCAAAATAGTCCGAATTTAATTGTTTTTCTTAGATCTGTATTTAGGTTATGCTTGTTGAATATTAGGCAAAATAAATGTTATTCCTAATCACGACTTTCATATTTAATGCGCTGTCGCGAAAACGCGAATGGACAGACTATAAGCAAGGCACTACTCAATAGTACCCAACGCCAACTCTTGAGTTACTCTTGTCTGATCGAATAGGTGGGATTAGGTTGTCGCTCTTATAACACTCCCATGGCCCCCAAAGTCTGGAAAGCGTTTTTGCGACAACGGGTCGCGAATCAGAAATCCTTAGATTCAAAATTTAAGCACAATAATTGCTGGACCACACCTGACCCATGGTATGACGATTTAAGAAAACTTAGTTATTACAGTTACTATCATTAATTTGTTCAGAGTCAGGGTTGAAGGAAGCTTACAGTCCCTACGTTTAATATCAAAATAAAACTGTCTTTTTTCACCTAATATTCAGGATTGTAAGCTTATCGAAAAATATTGCATGTGTAAAAATTATACACAGTTTTAAAATCATTAGGTTTAGCCCAGCAGAAAAAAAAGAAAAGATTTGAAAAATTGAAGAAAGCATATTGTACACCTACCCTAAGTCGATAAGAATGGGAATGCGACATCTGTTTGTTTTTTATATTTATTCCAATTTTTTTTTCCATGGTCACATCCAGCAGATACATATGTTATTCAATGTCAAGGCAAAAACGTTGGGGTTGAAATCAAGGCTCTTAATTTTTAAGACGAATTTTCTTTTAGATACTGCTTAAAGTTGTCGTCATTTGAATATTTGAATATTTCTGAAAGGGGATATGATAGCTTCGTTGTTTGTTTTAGAGTAAAGCCGCATTGAGCTATATGCTGTGTCCACTGCGGAGAATCGAACACCTAATTTTAGGTTGTAAATTCATAAATTTACCGCTGTCCCACGGAGGAACGGGCAGGACAGGTTTTTACATTAAACGCCATTTTCATAGGCTTTAAGATTATTTTGTTTGAAATGCATTGAATTTCACCTTTTGGGAACAGGTTTAGAACAAGCAATTTTTACATCAGTTCACAGCTGTTATATATACATATATAAATATCCATTCATCTTGCCCAAAACATTTCGGCTGTTTTGTGTTGTCGACTCATGGTGTTATATATCTGAAACTCAATAGATAATAATTCGTTCCTTTTTTTTTAAGGAAAATAAACTTAAAAACAATAAAAAACTAGAAGAATGCTAAACTCAAAATAGTCCGAATTTAATTGTCAATAATATGTTTGGTTTAAGGGTGTTACGTTTACACCGAGATTAAGGACACCGAATTTGCGCTTACATCAAGGCTATTCATAAATTTAATTTTGATATATTTAACGGATACAAATTTTGTACTTAAATCAAAATTCTTTATGTTAGACCCAGTTTAAGGTGGTTTTAATAAAGTTCAAAATCATTATGTTTAGAAGTATGTAAAGGTCATCATCTTTAGATCAAAATTTAGGTAATTTTTAAGAGTTGGTTCAAGTTTATTACTCTTACCTACAAGTAGATGTAAATAAACTTTCGATCAAGTTCGATGTCACGAGCTTAAGTATGGATTGCATGTTGTTTTGTTCAAGGGGAAGCACTACAAAGGGGCCCGGCATGGCCAGGTGGATAAGGCGCTCGACTCGCAATCTGAGGGTCGCGGGTTCGAATCCCCGTTCCACCAAACATGCTCGCCCTTTCAGCCGTGGGGGCGTTACTTTGTGACGATCAATCCCACTATTCGTTGGTAAAAGAGTAGCCCAAGAGTTAGCAGTGGGTGGTGATGACTAGCTGCCTTCCCTCTAGTCTTACACTGCTAAATTAGGGACGGCTAGCGCAGATAGCCCTCGTGTAGCTTTCCGCGAAATTCAAAACAAACAAACACTACAGAGGGCATATATTTGCACTTACTTTTTTTCTAATTATGGTATGCACGTTTAAGAGAAAAAAAATCAATTTACCGAGTTTAGGTGTACAGATTATATTTTTGTGTTAGATCGGAAATACCACGGGGGACTGATATTTGTTCTTTAAATTTTCTGCTTATGGTAGGAGAGTGTTAGAGAAAATGGTGAATTTACTGGTTTTATGAAAATCATTCACACAGTTTGAAAACTTCAACCAACTCAGTTTATATTCATGTTTGTTTTATTTGGCCGATAGGTGCTTCTTTGGCAGCGTCTTCAAAGCGTAGCTTGTGTATTTGGTACACCACCAACGCAAGTACAAAAATAACAAGCGTAACAGTACTGACACGCACACTCGATGAAATCTAACAGTTTCCACTTGTGTATTACGTTGAGAGTTTATTGAATTATCACACGTAACTATAGGATTTAAAGTCTGGTTAAACATTTATGGACACTGTAAATTTTACATATACAAAGTAACACAGCCGGTAAAGAAGAATATTTCTATGTAAACATCCACTGAGTGTGAGTACAGTACTCAACAAATCCGAAGTTCCTTATCCATAAATGTTTAAATATACTATTGAAGTTTTATTTAAGTTTGAATTTACTAACACAGTTTCTCACGTCATATAAATTTAAATTGGTTTATATCAGAGAAGTTCTACTGAACTAGGGAAGTGTTATGTAGATTTTAATATGTATTTAACACTGGTTTATATCAGAGAAGTTCTACTGAACTAGGGAAGTGTTATGTAGATTTTAATATGTATTTAACACTGATTTATATCAGAGAAGTTTTACTGAATGTAGCAGGGTAATTTAATACAGATTTTAAGTATACTAGCAAATATATATATATGTATATTTTTCGAAAGAATTTTAATATATGTGAAATATTTCAGATATATCTAAAATATCAGAAACTTCGTAGGCTTGCAACATAGTAAGGAAGGTTTTTAAGTAGGCTTAAGTAAGCCTTGCATCTTCACACAGGATTCGGTAAAAGGGGTCAACTCTATGCAGGATGAAACATGTAATATTTGTCATAACCAGTGTTGATGTGACAGATAGATTTGAACAACCCAGTGATAGGTTTATTTTAATATATTGAAAATTAATGCTCATGCGAGATTGATGAAAGCAAAGTGTACATATATTTTTTATATTAACAACCATTCAGACCTGGTATGGCCTGGTAACTAGAGCGCTCGTCTCACAATCAAGGGTTCGAATCTCGTAGTTGAATATACTCGCCCTTTCAGCTGTAGGGGTGTTATAATGCAACGTCCAATCCCACTTTTCGTGTGTTAATAGTAGTCCATGAGTTGGCGGTGGGTGGTTTTGACTAATTGTCTTCTCTATCACTTCTAAACTTGGAACGGCTAGCGCAGATATCCCTCGAGTAGCTTTGCGCGAAATTCAACAAAGAAACATTAAAAAAACTATATATTAATATCACAGACTGACTTTCACTGCAAGAGCTTAATCGTTTTTTTTACTCTACTCAAGGATTTCACCCATGAAAGACCCACACTTCTATGCCTGTAAAAAACTTACCTGATGAGTTTCTCGTTCTACTAAAATAACATACCTAATTTTTACTTAGAATATTCTCTTGAATAAATAGAGCACAAGAAGATGAAGAGACTAATCACTGTATATTTCTCTGAGTGACTTCAGAGGATTGCCTAGTTAGGACTATATTTTTGTACACTTTAACCTAAATAGGAGAATCGTAAAGCATATAAGTTCTTTGTGAGTATATTTAAATACGTTATACAGTGGTGTATAATATAAACTTTACAGACACAAAGGTGATGATAGTACAAGTAATCAACAGAATTATTTAACTTACTTTCATTGCCTGAAGCCGTCTTTACTGGATAGTGGCCAGTTACGTTCATATCTTGCAGGGGTAACTGCCCCGCTTGTTCATGCGATGTCTCTTGGACGTTTGGCTCCTCCAGTCGCATTGTCAGCTATAATTTTTACCTCGTGTGTGACCAGCCTGCCTACCACCTGTTGTGTACCTGTCGCGCCTGCGCTAAACCTGACATTACAGAGTAACAAAATCAGCAGAATATAAACGAATTGGCCAAGCTGACGCTTCAAACGTCTTCTCTCAAGGCGTTACGCGAATTAAACCTTTTAAAATATAAGTGAGAGAAAACGCGAGGTGCCGGAAAGACCTCTATATCGATTTGGTAATGTTACGTATACATTTCTGTGATTGTATAGATTCTTTGACTCTATCGACACCTGCAGCTATGCCCTGAAACAGTCCGGAGCTCTGCCGCGACCGCACTTACTGTTTTTCAGTTGTTCAGCGTGTAGTTGATAAATGAGCGGAATTGTGGGTAAAAAGCGAATGATAAACACACGACACTCGCAGGTTGAAACATACTTCAGATTAGTATTTAACTTTTAGGGAACACGAGAAGAATTACTAATACATAAAATTTAAAACATAAAAAATTAAATATTAGAAAGAACTATGCTTTTAAAATCCAAACAAGTTTTTATTAATTGTAGATAAAAAAAACTTTATTTTATTCCCAACGTTTCACCAGGTTTTATCTGGCATCATCAGGTGGCATAATTCCGTTAACCTCAGTTCTTGTATGCCACCTGATGATGCCAGGTAAGCCTGGTGAAACGTTGGGAATAAAATAGACAAAAGTTTTACTATGCATAACCGATAAATGTTTATGTGAGTAAAACAGAATCGTTTGATAAAAGGAACATAATAATGAGGTCTGTTTGTATGTTGGTATGAAAAGGAATTATGCGTAAACTAGTAGATGGTTTTTAGCTTTTACAAATGTAGAATACAAGTGATACAAATAGATACAGATAAAAACTTAGGATGTTCAAAAAAGAGGATTTTTTTCGCATGAATATTTTCTTGAATTCCAGTTTCGAGACTCACCATTTGTGTAAAAAAAAATATATTGAAAACTTATTCAACTTATACTTGGAAGTACAGGCGAGGATAAGAATGTTAAAAAATGCAGTAAAAACTGTCATTGCGCTAAAAAACAGTAAAAACACCAATATTGTTAAAAGATTCGAAACTTATATATATATATATGCATAATTCATATATCACTTACTTTTGCCATCTGTTACGTACTTGTTACGTAACAATTACATTTCTTATTGTTTATATTTATTAGAACAATTATTTCCTTTCGTGGCCCTTCATTATGGCCCTTCTCACAGCTAGTTATAGGCACTGAATGGTAAGTTTAGACCTTTCCACAGGTGGTTACAGGCACCGAATGGTAACTTTAGACATTTCTATAACGGTTACCGGCGCTGAATGGTAGGTTCAGGCGTAAGACGTTGTAAGTTGGGAAACTCGTGCCTGGCCCTAATTTTCAAGTTATATATTAATTATGGTTTCATTTCACTTGTAGAAAGCTTACACTTAGAGATTAAATCTGAAAGACGGTGTATCCCCACATGTTGTATGCAACATCATTCTACAAACCCCACATGTTGTATGCAACCTCATTCTACAGATATTTCTTACTAGGATACATTTTTTTCAAGTGTGTGTGTGTGGTTTGTTCCCAAGTTTTATTTTTCTGTCTTTTATATAAAATGCTTTTCGTTTTTGTTGTTTTTTTGCCTAATTATCTGGAATTACAAGACAAAAACATCCAAAGTAAGAAGATGCCGGAAATGTTTTGAAGTAGCATACGGATTCGAACCTGGTTCACCACCTTCGAAATCCAGAGAGATACCAAAGGGCCAGCTCGTGCCCTCTCAAATAACTTCGAAGTATTTTAATCAAAACTTTACTCATCTAAATAACAACGTTAGAGATGTATCACATGAACGAAGAATATCGTACATCAGACAAAAGATTGGTTTGCTGGGCTAGAAGAAGAGTTAAGTCACATACCCTGATCTGACTAACCTCTTGATATGGAAAGTCATTTTCTCGTTTTTTTTTTTTTTGGTAGACGATGACAATTGAAGTCCACATTTAATCCCAATAATCATGCTTTTCCTGTTCACGAACAATGGTTCTGCTAAGACGTTTCTTTGGAAAACTGCCATGTTAGTATTTTTCCCACTTCACTTGTATAACCTTCCACAAACCGGCTAATATCTTAAAGGTTCTACGACTTGCAAACGCACGAAAGCTTTATCAAAAGTGCATTGGAGCTGCATCTGGAAATTTCATTGTTATATGGTCGATTGGGATTTCTATGATTTCAGTTCCTTTCAATCAACTCTCTCATATCTAAATAGCTGATTATTTCCAGGTGTCACTGAAGCTTGTGAACTTTCATTAATTTCTAATTCTTCTATATTATCTTGTTAACAATATCAGAAGATATACTCAAAGAAAGAACCTTACTTTGTGGATGAGGACGTTCGTCCTAAATGTCTCTAACTGTGTTTTCGGAGCCCTGCTCCATTCTAAATGCTCAACAGTGGGAGTTTCACACTTCCATTGAAAACAAGACCTATTCTTTAAAATTTGGTATCCTTTGACTTTACATTGCTTCTGAGCATTTACTTCGGAAATAGTTTGTTTATTGTTTATTTGTAATTAAGCACAAAGCTACACAATGGGCTATCTGTGCTCTGCCCACCACGGGTATCGAAACCCGGATTCTACCGTTGTAAGTTCGTAGACATACCGCTGTGCCACTGGAGGGCTCGGAAATAGTGATCACATACCTCTCATGACCCTATGAAGTATTGTATTTTACAAAACCTGTCAGGGTAGTTTGCTTATATATATATATATATAACACATACATATAAGGGATCAAGGATCATTTATAATGCGATCATAGTTCTAGAGATGTCTTGATATTCGTAAAGAGCGTCAGCTAACTCATCCACATTTCTATAATGTGTAAATGTACTAATGTCATCTAACTCATCCACATTTCTATAATGTGTAAATGTACTAATGTCATCTAACTCATCCACATTTCTATAATGTGGGGATTTCTTTATTTTCAGAATCGATACCATAGAATTCCCATTGCACTTTGTTTTTCCCTTCTGTCGTTTCAGCAAAGGTTAATAACAAATAGAAACGTTAGCCTGAAAAGGGGTTACTATAGTATTGGGGCAGAATTAATTAATTTTGATCACGAAATATGTTGTTATTGGAAGGTTTCAACAAAAATATTGCACCATTTCTCAATTATAACCTCTAGAGTTCATAAGCAGGAACGCCATTTTGAATTATGATTTCAAAAATACCCCATAAGATTTCGATGACATTAGTACATTTACACATTATAGAAATGTGGATGAGTTAGATGACATTAGTACATTTACACATTATAGAAATGTGGATGAGTTAGATGACATTAATACATTTGTGGTAATGCTCTAGTTACATAAGTACATCTAAATGTTTTGTATATATTAACACGTGGTCTGTTTGTACCAATACGGTGCACTTTCAGTATTGTCCAAAAAAGGTAGCTATTTTCAATAATATTTACAAGAAATTCACAATATTTAGAGTTACGTGCATTATGTGGCATTATTATACAAAATCCCTCAAGTGGGATTGTAAATATAAATGGACAGCCGACACAGTTTTATTGAAAACTTCGAGAGCGTTGTTTGTGTAAGATGGGCAAACTAAGTAATGAATTATTTATTACATCACGATTGTAAAGAAAAAGAAACTGCATAAGCATGGTTAAAGCAAATCAGCAAACAAATATTTAATTCTATCGCAAAGGATAAGGGGATTTAAGAGCCCAAACTGGTCCCACCATTAAAGTTTTTGGAAACAGTACCAAAATAAACGTATGGAAAAAAAGCATTGCTCATCTGTGTTTCATTATCAAAATGCCAGCCATTTTGTTGTTATGACGTTATAGATATGGTCACATCTTGTTTTCAGAATCGGAAAAAAAGAAGAATTGGTTTAGATTTTTCATTGAAATTTTATGGTTTTGTACTTGTTGTGATCCTAAGAAACCAAATAACATGATAAGTATAACCTTTTATGAGCTTAGTTAAGATTTGTCTGGAAAAAATAAAGCTTGTGATGAAAATCAGGTTATCATTATATAAAACGCCCAATCACATGACCTATTAATACATATAAATACATTTCTTAGCATTTGTTGTTGACAAAATAGCTTTTCTTAATAATCCTAGGATAAAATAAAACTAAATTGAAGAAAGGGGGATCTGTTACTTTTCAGTGAGTGCAAACATCCCCCCCCCCGAAAATAAACACAGTTTGATTTAACATATGGACAGAAACACGATCATTTAAGCTGTAATTTCTATTATCTTAGGAATACATTTAAAAACTTGTTAAACGTTTATGATATATGTAAATGAATGATGAGATAGCGCACATTATATCTTCATGATCGCCCACTAGGGAATGCTACTGCGGTCTTTATCATCTTATTAAGTACAGTAACCTCAATTTTCTTATATCGTGTGCCTATTTATATACTTTCAAAGGTGCAAAAATTCCCTCAACATTATAAAACAGCTGAAAATGATAATTTCCCAAGGAAAATGGAACAATGGAGATATTTCAACTTATATTACACTTGCTCCCAGGTTGTTTGTGTTGTTGAGGTTGTAAATTGGTTTTCTAGAGTAGATTTTCATATTATGCTGATATTATTTACACCTCATCAACTCCCACTTCTTCTGTTTGTTCTGATTTCTCTGCGAAAGCAGATTCGTCAGAAGTAATGATGAGCTGGTACTTAACATGAAAATGAGAAAATCAGATCTTCTTCGATAAAACAGACACCATTATGTATCATAAACTATGACATTTTGCTATCTAGAGTGAATCATGTTTAATTATTGTTCAAGTGACCTCGTGAATAAACACACAGGTGTACGGGCACAAATGTGAATGTTCAGAGATAAACACACTGGTGGACGGGCACAAATGTGAATGTCCAGAGATAAACACACTGGTAGACGAGCACAAATGTGAATGATCAGAGATAAACACACTGGTGGACGGGCACAAATGTGAATGATCAGAGATAAACATACTGGTGGACGGGCACAAATGTGAATGATCAGAGATAAACATACTGGTGGACGGGCACAAATGTGAATGATCAGAGATAAACACACTGGTGGACGGGCACAAATGTGAGTGATCAGAGATAAACATACTGGTGGACGGGCACAAATGTGAATGATCAGAGATAAACACACTGATGGGCTGGCACAAATGTGAATGATCAGAGTGCGATTTTATTTTTGTTTTTAAACAACTTGGATAAAAGGTAAGTACTTTGAGTAGATATAT